TCCTAGCGAAGCCAAAACCAATCTACCAAGAACCATCCGGCCAACTGACTGGTGGGTAAATGATTTGTGTTGTGTTTTCTAAAAAATCAAAAAAATTGAAGAACAAAATGTGTAGACAAACCAATTTTTAGAAAAATTGAAAAATAGATCTTTTTTTATAATTGAGGTTTTCGGATTAGTTTGCGTGCTCCTCGACTAACTATGAGGGTCCATTGAACATCCTATAAGCCTAATGTTTCATAAGTGGCCCTACAATGATTCAAACCCAGATAGTCAATGAAGACAGCAAACCTTGATGTTTGCCAAGCCAACCCTTTGGGGTTTGAAAAAAAAAAAAAATAGTTTTGTATTGGTTTGTAAGAACAATATTTGGTGTATGAGGGAAGGTGTTTAAGAGTTCTTTTGTATTTATACTAAATAGTTCATTTTAGTAAACGAAATCATCAAAGCTAAACTTGAGGACATTGTTTTAAAAGCCGAACCGGACTGGTCGGTCCAACCGGTTGGACCCAGAACCGGTCACGTGTCCGGTTCAAGTCAACCCTAAAACCGTTATAATGCAATGGACCGCGTTAAACTGTTAAAAAATCGGATATTTTCAGCGAACCACCGGTCCAATCGGATCGATCGATAAACCGGTCCAATTAAAAATCCCTAAACCTAATACACGCAGCCTTCTTCTCATCGCGTTCAGTTCATCTCTTTCTCAGTTTCTTACGCAAATTTCTCAGCTTCTTCTCTCTTCTCTGCAAAAATTTTCAACTTCGTCTCTGTTGTCTATTCTCTGCGAAGATTTCTCTTTGAAATCCCACCCAAATCGCATCTAAACTCTCTGAAATTGACAACGACGTCTTCCTCCCTCGCCGGAAATCGACGACGTCTTCCTTCCTCGCCCAAAATCGACGACGACAGCTCCGTTCCTTGCTGAAAATCAACGGTGATAGCTCCATTCGTTGACGACAGCTCCATTCTTCGATCCAAGTAATAAACACGTCATTCTTCGATCCAGCTTCAATAATCAATAATATAAATACAACATTTTTGTATCTGATATTAATTTTAAGGCTCAAGAGTTTATGACTGATTATTTCATTGTACCTTCGTTTAGGGAGCTCTTTTGCATCTAGAAGTTGAAGGGTCGGGTTTCTTATATAGACAAGTGCGAAACATGGTAAATCATTCACACCTCTTCCAAATAAAAGAGTTAATGTTGAGTTGTTATGCATCTTACCGATTTTAATCTCCAACCATTTGATGAATGAAGTTGATGGTAATTGACTTAAGCTCGCTGAATAAATGCATATGTNCCGAAATGAGGAGTTGAACCCATACCCACTGTTTTAAAAACCGGACCGGACCGGCCGGTCGGACCGGTTGGACCGGGAACTGGCAGCTTCTCCGGTCCGGCTTAGGTCTCAAGGGCTTTTTTGAAATATTTTAAAATTATGAGGGTTACTTTAATTTTATAGGGGTATTTTAGAGATATATCAAAAGTTTTGGGATTAATTGGTCATTTTATTGGGGCATTTTTGGAATAAATAAAAATTTTAGGGACCAATTTGAACTTTTTTAGCAGAATTTTTGTAATATATTGAAATTTAAGGGGTTAATATATAGTTTTTTAAAAATAAAATATTGCTGACGTCATCGGTCCAACCGGTCGGTCCAATCGGTTGGACCGATTCACCCGTGACCCGGACAGCAAAACGGTTTGCCCTCCAGTCCGGGTTTTAAAACAATGCCCATACCCAAGAAGTCTTAGCGAAGCCAAAACCAATCTACCAAGAACCATCCGGCCAACCGATTAGTGGGTAACTGATTTGTGTTGTGTTTTCTAAAAAATCAAAAAAATTGAAGAACAAAATGTGTAGACAAACCAAATTTTAGAAAAATTGAAAAAATAGATCTTTTTTTATGATTGAGGTTTTCAGACCAGTTTGCGTGCTCCTCGATTAACTATAAGGGTCTATTGAACATCCTACAAGTCTAATGTTTCATAGGTGGCCCTACAATGATTCGAACCCAGATAGTCAATGAAGACAACAAACCTTGATGTTTGTCAAGCCAACCCTTTAGGGTTTGAAAAAAAAAAAATAGTTTTGTATTGGTTTGTAAGAACAATATTTGGTGTATGGGGGAAGGTGTTTAAGAGTTTTTTCGTATTTATACTAAATAGTTCATTTTAGTAAATGAAATCGTCAAAGCTAAACTTGAGGACATTGTTTTAAAAACCGAATCGGATCGGCCGGTCCAACCGGTTAGATCGAGAACCGGTCACGTGTCCAGTTCGAGTCAACCCTAGAACCGTTATAATGCAATGGACCGCGTTAAATCTTTAAAAAATCAGATATTTTCAGCGAACCACTGGTCCAACCAGACCGACCGATAAACCGGTCCAATTAAAAATCCCTAAACCTAATATGTGCAGCCTTCTTCTCATCGCGTTCAGTTCATCTCTTTCTTAGTTTCTTACGCAAATTTCTCAGCTTCTTCTCTCTTCTCTGCAAAAAAATTTTAGCTTCGTCTCTGTTGTCTATTCTCTGTGAAGATTTCTCTCTGAAATCCCACCAAATCGCATCTGAACTCTCTGAAATCGAAACGTCGTCTTCCTCCCTCGTTGGAAATCGACAATGTCTTCCTTCCTCACCGAAAATCGACGACGACAGCTCCATTCTTCGATCCAGGTAATAAACACATCATTCTTCGATCCAGCTTCAATAATCAATAATATAAATACAACATCATTTTTGTATCTGATATTAATTTTAAGGCTCAAGAGTTTATGACTGATTATTTCATTGTACCTTCGTTTAGGGAGCTCTTTTGCAGCTAGAAGTTGAAGGGTCGGGTTTCTTATATAGACAAGTGCGAAACATGGTAAATCATTCACACCTCTTCCAAATAAAAGAGTTAATGATGAGTTATTATGCATCTTACCGATTTTAATCTCCAACCATTTGATGAATGAAGTTGATGGTAATTGACTTAAGCTTGCTGAATAAATGCGTATGTTTTCTGGAAGTTTATGAATTAGTTTCAATTTGCAGGGTGCTTTGCTGCTTCAAATTGGAAAAGAAGCAATTCCTCCTGATATTGTTCCGAAGATTCTGGCAACTCGAGATCGCAGGGAGCTTGCTAAATATGCTTTGTCTGCCCCACCTCATGGACTCTGTCTTGTAGCCGTTAATTATAATGAAGAGCACCTACGGCTTCCGGCAGGTTGCCCCACAGCTAGTTTTGGTAGGCGTCATAGTATAAGCAAATGTAAGCTTCCGTTCTATTAGCTAATTTTGTTGTTCAGTACCAAAAGTAACTGAAAATGGGGGAGTAGGAAAATATAATCCAATTGAAAATAACAGAGTAGAGATCATCCTTGTTGGAGATTAAAATATACTGTTGTATGAACACTTAAATTTCAATGTAGCAATTCATTTTTTGGTTTAAACGTTGCATCATACTTCCTCTATCAGACATCATCAGATAGTATGGTCTCTCTAGCCGCTAAACCATTTAGGTTCTTCAAAGAAAAAACACTTTCATCAAATGTTTTGTTATTATTATTAATTAGTATGTATTTTGACATTTAATATATAAATACAACATCATGTTTGGATTTGGACTTTGAATTGCTGTTAAATACTTAAATTATGTTATGATTGTTGTTAAATTTGAACTTTGAATCATGTTGGATTTGACAGTAATTAAGTTGGTATTGTCTTATTAAAAAATAGAAATATAAAAAAAAAATTTTTTTTTAAAAATGTGTTGACATCATCATGATGTGTGATGACATCACCGATCCAACCCGCTCTGATGGTCAGGTCACGGTTCAACCGGTCCAACCAACGGTCCCACCGGTTAGACCGGTTGAACCGTGACCTGACCATTAGAGCGGGTTGCCCTCCGGTCTGGTTTTTAAAACAATGCTTGAGGATGAATTTCTTAATGTTAAAAAGTTTAAAAGACATGGACCTTCCTAGGGTAATGATATAATATAAACCGCTTATGATTTCTAAAATAGCAAAAAACTTTATACTTGTTAATGATCTGTTAGTGTACTCTTAAACATTATATTGTTATGAAGGTATGAAACATTATTATATCCAAAGAGATTTGCAACCATACAAATTTATTTATAGCATATTGATGAATGGTTATTGGTTGTTGCATAGATTTGATGATGCAAAAGAACTGTTAATCTCTATGTGGGGGTTTGACGATGGTTACCATTATTTTAAAACTCAGTCCAACCAGACCATTGTTGTTATTTTTGTTCACCAAGTGTTTGATAAATTGTTTGACCAACGCTATTTCTATACCTCTTGATTATTTTTAACTCGCACGGGATAAATGGTAGATGTTTACAACTGATTATTTGTAGTTGTATTATCATTTGACTACTATCAAGGATTCACAAATCACATACATACTTCTTGTTCACCAATCATAATGGGAATATATTTTCTTAAATTTTCAGGTTTATATTTTTTTAATCGATCAAACTGCAAACAATGAGTTTACATTGATTCAATCGGTCAACCTGAGACCGAACCACTTTATTGGGTGACACCTCAAGTTGGGTATTAAAATATTGGTGCTGACAAGCTACAAGTGTGGATGTGTTGCTTTGGATAAAATTTTATCTTAAAAAAGGAAGTCAACTCAACCTTATTACATAATTTAAATTTTATTAGGCCGAATGAACTTAATATAAAATATAATTTAATTTTATAGTATTAATGTTATTTAATATGGATTACCTTGGATATATCATATATATGCTTGTGAAACTTGAATGATTTATATTTTAGTTCATGATTTATTTTATATATAATTTTGTTTCTTTTAACATGCCCTCGCTGTCTGAATAATTACATTTGTACCCTACAGGTTTTGCATAGATGCATTTTATTTTATCCCACACTCATTTCCAGCGAGATTTTATTATTTAACCCTAAGCCAGTTTGAACCCTACCTAATCCACAGACGCCGCAACTCAAATGGCGTTCAATACCTTTCTTCGTCGTTGTTCTTCTCTTTCTGAAACCAAGATCTCTTCTTTATTCACAAATTCATGTAAAGTGACTGCAACCATACGACAAGATTCAGTATATAACGTTGAAAATGTATCGAGGCTTAATATATTCCTTCGAAAAGACTGTAAACAAGGTAATATCACTGTTGATGAAGCACGCTATTTCTTTAGTGTAATGATTCATATGCAACCCAAACCACCGATTTCATCATTCAACCGGTTGTTTGGAGCACTTGCTAAGAAGAAGTTTTATGAAGACATTATTTTGCTTTACAAACGACTGGATTCAATGGGGTTGATGCCAGATTTAATTACATTAAATATTTTGATTAATTGTTTTTGTAATATGGGTCGAGTTCGTGATGGTTTTGTTGTTTTTTGGAGAATTTTGAGGGGGGGTTTTAACCCAGATGCTGTGACTTTTACTTCTTTGATTAAAGGTTTGTGTTTGGAGAATAGGAGTTTGGAGGCTATGGAGTTGTTCAAGAAAATGGCTGTGTTTGGGGTCAGGCCTGATATTGTTTGTTATGGTAGTATTATCGATAGTCTTTGCAAAGATGGGTTGATAGATGAAGCGAAAGAATTGTTTTTGGAAATGAAGAGTAGAGGAATGAAGCCAAATGTGGTTGTTTGTACCTCTCTAATTTGCGGTTGGTGTTTTGTGGGAAATTTGGAGGAGGCTGAGAGTTTGTTTGTTGAGATGGGGGATCAAGGTTTGCAGCCCAATGTGGTGACTTTTAATTCAATGATAAATGGGCTTTGCAAGGAGAGAAAGATGGAGGAAGCTAATGGGTTGTTGGAATTGATGAGTCAAAGAGGTTTGCAGCCTGATGTGGTGACTTTTACTACAATGATAAATGGGCTTTGCAAGGAGGGGAAGATGGAGGAAGCTAATGGGTTGTTGGAATTGATGAGTCAAAGAGGTTTGCAGCCTAATGTGGTGACTTTTAATACAATGATAAATGGGCTTTGCAAGGAGGGGAAGATGGAGGAAGCTAATGGGTTTTTGGAATTGATGATTCAAAGAGGTTTGCAGCCTGATGTGGTTACGTTTACTACAATGATAAATGGGCTTTGCAAGGAGGGGAAGATGGAGGAAGCTAATGGGTTGTTGGAATTGATGAGTCAAAGAGGTTTGCAGCCTGATGTGGTGACGTATACCACAATGATAAGTGAGCTTTGCAAGGAAGGCGAGATGGAGGAAGCTAATAGGTTGTTGGAATTGATGAGTCAGAGAGGTTTGCAGCCTGATGTGGTGACGTATACCGCAATGAGAAGTGGACTTTGCAAGGAGGGCAGGATTGAGGAAGCAAATGGGTTAGTGGAGTTAATGAGTCAAAGAGGTTTGCAGGCTTGCAGTCTATGATCTGATCTTCTAGTCTTGACCTTTATAAGTACCCATAGGCTGATTTGGTATCTTTATATGTTCCATCCTGCGATCATAAGTCCTGACATATATAACCCTTTATATTATTTTTAAGTTTTTTTGCTAATTTCAATTTGTTATTGGTCACCTGAATTCTTATTCCTCTAATTATTTTAGCTCTTATATTTTGCAATGTGCTCTGGATATTCTGAGAGTATAATGCCATGAGGTAAAGATGACACTTGATAGTTTTTGCAAATATCTGCCGCTAGGTGTTTAACCCTGAAGGAAAATTTTAGGATAGCCATTGAGGAAATAGACATTTTTTCTTTATTTAAATGCTCGTTTGCCCAAGTTCTCTCAAAGCATGAAGCAAGAACTGCAACATCCAATGATTATTTTTGCTTTTATGGAACTTGTCCAACTTGGTGTTTGCTCAAATACTATTATATCATTGCTTTCCGACTGTATTTTAGTCAATCATTGAATACTTCTTGTCCTTTTACAATGCATGTCTTGACAAGTTAGAAATATCTGTGGCATATTCTCTTTACTGAAGTTCTTTAGTGGTGATTGCATGTTGTGGTCTTCTATTTTCCTGTAAATCAACAGACTTGAACACCTGATACCACAAAAATGTCATTATGTCACTGATTGCTGATGGGGGACCAGGGCTTCATTGACTTCGTTTCTCATTTGCTTGAAGTAAATCTTAGGACATATCCTTCTGCATCTGATGCTCTGAAGCACCTAATGCAATCATAGCCTTAGAAGTTCCAACCTATATCAGCTCGCACCATCTGTATTCGCTCAAATTAATTCATGTTGTTGGTGACTTATGAAGTATGATTTTCCTTTCCCATAGACTTTGTATTTCAGTTTTTCATTATCAAGAATGTAAATTTGTTCGTCTCATGTATTTGAGGGATATGTTCCTACTTCCTCGCTTTGTTTGATAAGGTAGTATAGGAATCTCATCATGTCTTGTAGTACATCAGGAGAATTCTTCTTTCATGTATGAAGAAATATATTTTCAGTATCTTTGAATATGGTAGAACTTTTTAATATAATTTTAGAGCTTTTGCTATTTTTCAAAGTCGATTGCTGATTTATGTTCCAATGATTTAGAGCATGTTCAAGATTTCTAATGCCATAAAATTTGTATAATTCTCTAATGAGGATATCTGAAGCAGTATGGTAGAATAATTTGATAATGACTTGCCAAAGATCTCAAGGTATTGAAATTTTCTTGATCCAACTGAAGGTAAATTTGTTTTGATAAGTTTAACATTGACCAAGGCTTATCAAGAGTATCCATCAATCAAAAGAAAGCAACACTAGAACTAATTACTATTTACTGTTCCAAGAGTTGATTTCTAAGGATTTGCTTTTATGATTTCTGGTGTGAAGCATCTAAGCAGTGTGTTTAGTTGATGAAAGGGCGGCTGCCGGGGAGAAACTAGGAGATATATATTGAGGAGAAGAACCATTTTAGGCTGAAGTGAGTACAATTTGGAAACTCTTTTAGATGAACCAAGCTGCAAAAAGTTTGTTGAAATTGGCATGTCTGGTGTGGAAGAGGATTGAAACAGGGGACCAGCAATGGATTCAATAGTAACGGCTCTTTCAGAATGAGAAGTTGAAACTGAAGTCAATTGTGTGGGAAATTAATAACTGCAATATTTGAGCTATAAATTTGTTGTCTGTTTTTGGTGTGTTTTTGTTTTAAGGGTTACCAAGATGAACAGTTTGATCATATGAAAGATTAACTGACGGGATTTGCAAATGTATTATAGAAAATTAGAAATAGTTTGTGACTTGGTGTTGGTAAACGGAACCGTCAAAGTTAGTTAAATTTGATGATGAATTTCTTAATGTAAAAAAGTTTAAAAGACATAAACCTTCTTAAAGTAATGATATAATAAAAACCGTTTATGATTTCTAAAATAACAAAAATTGTTTAGCCCGTTAATGAACTGTTACCCTTAAACCATATATTGTTATGATGGTGGTAAACAACTAAACATTATATTCAAAGAGGATTATTTATAGCACATTGATGAATGGTTATTGCTTGTTGCGTAGATTTGACGATGCAAAGGAGTTGCTAATCTCTGTGTGGGGGTTTGACCGTGGTGGTGACAAGTTGCATGTGTAGCCGTGTTGCTTTGGTAAAAGTAGTTGAACTTCTTCGCAACCACATATTGCGTAGTTGTAGATGAAAGTTACCGTGAATGTTTGAAGTTATTTCCTTCATTTCCAGTTCAAAAGCCAACAAGAAGCTGACATGATAAATGTGATGCAATTAACTATAGAAGAAACCATCTTCAATGTTGTTAAAGATGGTAGTTCAGGATTGTATGTAAATAGGACTGTTATACGAATCAAGCCGCTTGCGAGCCAGCTCGATTCGGCTCGACAAAAGCTTGACTTGAGCTTAATCGAGTCGGCTGCTTACGGGCCGATTTTGGCTCGATATAGAGGGTAACGCAGAGGGTTCTCAATCTATTGGGAGGTAAATGAAATTTGCATTTATTAAACATAATAGTTTAAAATTTCACAAATTCTACCCATTGTTAAAACTAAAACACAATTTTTACCCCCCAAATCAACCAAATCCCTAAGTTAAAAAAAGAACCCCACCCAAAATTGACAATCCCAATCAACCTTCGTTGTTGTCGTCGCCCATAGTTGCTTTCTTCCAGTATTACAGTCGTCCATGTCATCTGTTACGCCTTTCATCTTCTTTTTCCTTGTTTCACCATTTTTGTTGGCCAGATTAGGCTCTCTTCATTGCGATCTGTTTCTCCTCCTACCCAAGATCTTGTTCGTTATCTCGCCGTCACAATAACTTAATCAGGTATTTTTTTGGCCCATTTTCTTCTTTGTTTTCCCAATGTAAATACTTGTATGCAAATATGAATGATTGAAATGTGAAATATGTGATGTTGAAAAATGCCAATGTCGTGCACTGTGCTCAAACTGTTATTGGCTGTTACGTTTGTGTTCACTTTTGAGGAAGTATTTGTGCTGTGTAACTGTAATGTTTGTGGTTTTGTGCTATGTAACTGTAAGGTGTTTGTGTTGTGGTCCTGTGGAGTGTTCATGTTGTCTAAGTGTGAAGTGTTTGTGCTGTGTAAGTGTAATGTTTGTGCTATGGAGTGTTTGTGTTGTGTTGTTTAGGAAATTATCCCGATGTGTTGAGATGACTGAATAAGGAGTAAATGAGTAATTACATATTCACTTTAAATTAATGCTACACGGTTGGGGGGAAAAAAAACTTTATATTAAATGCAGTATAGGCTTTAAATAAATGTATGTGTTAAGTAACAAATATTGAAAAATGAAAATGCTTTGGGATGTATAACATGTTTTTGCTGTGGAGTGTGGACTGTGCTATTTAGAACGTTATTCAGGTGTGTTGAGAATGAGGAGCAATGAACTTTATATTAAATGCTACACGATTGGAATGAACTTTATATTAAATGCAGGATTCGCTTTTACTTTATATTAAATGTAGCTAACCCATTTGTTTTTATTTTGTATTATAGGTTGGAAATGGCCAGCAGTACCTCAAGCAACCCTATAGAGCAAGATACAAGTACAATTACACTGGGCAATAAATGTTCCTTGAATGAGACCACTACAAATACGGAACACAGTGTTAGTAGCCCAGATAATGGTTGGTAGAATGAGAATCCAATTCAGAGGAAAAAGAGAGCTAAAACATGAGTTGTTTGGACAGAGTTTACCAAAGTGGTTCTCCCGAAAGGTACAAAAAAGGGAGAGTGTATCTATTGCAAAGCAAAGATGTCTATTAATGCCACCAGAAACACCACCCAATTTAATAGAAATTTGAAATAGTGTTCAAACAGAAAAGCTTCCATGAGGCAACAACACATCACTTTTCCCGTTGCCAATTCTGATGTTGGAACTTCTGTTTTGCCTACTTTAAGTGGAAAGTTCGACATGATGAATATGAGGGAACTTATCGCCCATTTGGTACTTATGCATAAGCATCCATTTTCAGTTGTGGAGGAAGAGGGCTTGAACAATATGATGAACTATGGGATTCCTGAATGGAGTTCGGTTTCCCACCATACTTGCAAAAATGATTGTATGAAAGTATATGAGAGTGAAAAAGCGAAGTTGAAGACATTGTTGAAGAATGTGACCAAGATTAGTTTGACTACGGATTTATGGAATTCCGGCAATCAAAAGATGGTGCTCACTGGGCATTAGATAGATGGTACTTAGAGGATGAATAGACGTCCCCTCAACTTTGTGCATTTACCTCCTCTTCGTACCGGTGTTGCAATTGTTGACTCCATATCCAAGTGCCTTCTGGAATGGGGATTGAAAATAAGGTTTACACTATCTCAGTGGATAACGCTTTAAGTAATGACGTTGTAATCAAAATTATGAGGGAAAATTTTTAAGTTATGGGGAATTTGATTTGTGGAGGTAAATTATTTCACGTTAGATGGTGCCCATATCTTGAACCTCATTGTTCAAGATGGACGTTATCAGATTGGGCATATCATCGACAACATCCATAAGAGCATCTTATACATCAATGCTTCAGAGATTAGGATTAGAGTTTTTACTGAGATTGTGCAACAACTTAAATTGCTATTTCGGAAGCTTATTCTACATTGTAAAACAAGATGGAATTCGACTTATGAAATGTTGGCAATGGCAATTAAGTTTTAAAAAGTATTTCCTAGGTTGAAAGAAAGGGATTCAAGTTATCATTATTGTCCATAGGACGAGGATTGGGAGAAAATGTGTGACATTTTAAAGGTTTTCAGTGGTACAACCAATCTCATTAGTGGGAGTGATTATCCTACATCTAATTTATTTTTAAAGGAGGTTTGTTTAGTGAAAATGATGTTGGATAGTAAGAGTGAAGACGAAGATGAGTTTATTAGAAACATGATGAGAAAGATGAAGGAGAAGTTTGATAAATATTAGGGGGAATGTAATGTGCTGATGCATGTGGATGATGTATTGGATCCTCGATTGAAAATGAGGGTAATTCAATGGGCCTCCCCCAAGATGTATTATGAGTTAGAACCTCGTGCAAGTACTATAACTATTCAGGATGCATTGTATGAGATGTTGAAGCTAATAAAGCCTCCACTATTTCCCGTGGACCTCCCCTTGTAGGGGATGGAGTTGGAGCCACGAGTTGGGATGATTTTAGCAATTTTTTAGATGTGGTGGAGACTGCTGAGCCAAGTAATTATGAGCTAAACTGTTATTTGGGAGAGGAATGTCATAAGTATGTAGGGGATCATGAGGTATTTGATGCTTTACAATGGTAGAAGGCAAATTCAACCAAGTACCCTATATTGTCCATGATGGCTCGTGAGATACTAGTCATCTCATTCACTACGATTGTTTCAGAGTCTTCATTCAGTGTTGGGAGTAGGGTTATTGACAGTTATCGAGCTTCTTTGTCTCCGAACATGGTGGAAATGCTCTTATGTGGATGTGATTGGTGTCGATCTTTGAACGGAGTGAAGAAAGCATGCAAAGTAAGTTCCCTTGATTATATTTTTAATGCAATTCAATATTTACAATTACTTTATATTAATGTAAACTTAATTTTTATTTCTTATTTCATTTCAAAAAGAGCAGGACCACTTGGAGATTGTTCTTCTTATCCCGTCAGTTGGCAAGAATCAGTAGATTGTTTAATTCTCCAGCACATCATTGGGTGTGGCAACAGGATTGGGCAGGTTTGACTTAATTGATTGTTTCTTTTGGTTTGCATATTCACCTTTATGTACTTATGTCCTTAAGTGATTATTTATTTATTTATTTATTTATTTATTATTATTATTATTATTATTATTTTGTTTGTAGGAGTGGGGCAAGAATGGTTTTGGGATGTAGTTGCCAACATACAACCTTTTTTTTTTTTAATGAAACATTATATTTTGATGTTTTGGGATTAAATTTGTATATAGTCCTCTTTTTGTTCTGAAGAAAGATGAATTAAGTGAAGTGAACCAAACAAAAACTTTAATTCACTCCACTTAATTTG